GAGACCATTTAAAGGCTCAGGAACCCTTTGCAGGTGTTATGCCCTGCTGCCTACTTCCACCCTCCCACCTGTACCACGGCTTAATTAGTTGATTAGAGTGGGACACTTTGAAACTAGAATATTGCACCTTTTCACAATATTCTCATTTTCTGAGATTGTGGATTTGGGGTTTTCGTGAGCTGTAAGCCATAATCATCACAATTATGACAAATCGCGGCTTGAACTATCTTGCTTTGCATGTAATGAGTCTATCTCATATATTAGTTTCACCTTTTAAGTTGCATTACTGAAATAAATGAACTTTTGCACGATATGCTAATTTTTTTAGTTTCACCTATATATGTATGTGTATATACATATATATGTGTGTGTGTGTGTGTATATATATATATATATATATATATATATATATATACACACACACACACACACATATTGTCAAAAGTATTGGGCCAGCCCTCCAAATCATTGGATTTAGGTGTTCCAATCAACTCCATGGCCACAGGTGTATAAAATTAAGCACCTAGGCATGCAGACTGCTTCTACAAATATTTGTGAAAGAATGGGTCGCTCTAAGGAGCTCAGTGAATTCAAGCATGGTACCGTGATGGGTTGCCACCTGTTCAATAAGTCCATCCATGAAATTTTCTTGCTATTAAATATTCCACGGTCAACTGTTAGTGGTATTTATAACAAAGTGGAAGCAACTGGGAACAACAGCAATTCAGCCACAAAGTGGTAGGCCATGTAAAATGACAGTAGGGTCTGCGTATGTTGAACTGCGTAAAAGTCGCCAACTGTCTGCAGAGCCAATAGCTAAGGACCTCCAAACTTTGTGTGGCCTTCAGATTATCCAAGCCTTACATAACCAAGTGCAATGCAAAGCGTCAAATTACATCACAGTGGTGGAGCAGTGGAGACGTGTTTTCTGGAGTGATGAATCACACGTCTCTGCCTGGCAATCTGATGGATGTGTCTGGGTTTGCCGGTTTCCAGGTGATCGGTACATAACTGTCTGCATTGTGCCAAGTGTAAACTTTGGTGGAGGGGGGGGGGATTATGGTGTGGAGTTGTTTTTCAGGGGTTGTGCTTGGCCCCTTAGTTCCAGTGAAGGGAACTCTTAAGGCGTCGGCATACCAAAACGTTTTGGACAATTTCATGCTCCCAACTTTTTTGGAACAGTTTGGGGATGGCCCATTCCTGTTCCAACATGACTGCGCACCAGTGCACAAAGCAAGGTGCATAAAGACATGGATGAGTGAGTTTGGGGTGGAGGATCTTGACTGGCCTGCATAGAGTCCTGACCTCAACCTGATAGAACACCTTGGGATGAATTGGAGCGGAGACTGCAAGCCAGGCCTTCTCGTCCAACATCAGTGCCTGACCTCACAAAAATGCGCTTCTGGAAGAATGGTCAAACATTCCCATAGACACTCCTAAATAATGTGGACAGCCTTCCCAGAAGTGTTGAAGCTGTTATAGCTTCAAAGGGTGGGCCAACTCAATATTGAACCCTACGGACTAAGACACCATTAAAGTTGATGTGCGTGCATAGGCAGACATCCCAGTACTTTTGCCAATATAATGTGTGTGTGTCTCGCTCTCTCTCTCTCTCTATATCTATCTATAAATATACATTTATATATATATATATATATATATATATATATATACACCAAGATATACAGGGTATTTTAACTGGAAGTCAGACATGGAGCTACATATAGTGGGCATATAAATATTTTTTATATTAAAGTAGTACTAAAAGCTGAGATATAACCATTTTTAAATATGAGTCACAATACTGGTAATTGTAATTCCTTAATTTGCCTCCAGCTACTCTGGGGTGATGCTGATCAGATCATATACTGATCTTCCTGGCACAAAGCGCTTACATCACTTCCTTCTCCTTCCCAGGACAATATGTCCCTTGAGGCATTGCTTCTCATACATTCATGAGTTCTTAGGCACTTATTGACATGCACTGGTGTACTGAGCTGTATGTGTGCTGTACTGTGTATTATGACATGTATGAATGGTGTACTAAACTGTATGTGTGCTGCACTGTGTATACAGACATATAAACAAATAATGCATTTTCTGTATGCAGGTCAGCTAATTGGCTGACCCACTAATTGATAAAGAAAATAGTTGACAATTATTTTCATAATCAATTATCGAATATGTGGATTAGTTGTTTCAGCTTTATTTCTAACACCTATTAGGTTTTTTGTGCTGTCTGTGACTCCCTTGGAGAGATTCACACTATTTATCCTGATTAGCATTATCATCGAAAGTAAAAGAAAAATTCAAAATTTTGGGTTGTCCCCAGAAAAGTAATAAAGGGGAAATCTTTCAATGGGGACACTACTTCTGGGGGCCCCAAGGGAATCCCTTAATTTGAAGGGATTTCCTATCAATTCTGGTTGTGGCTATGGGACAGGAAATTAAGGTAAATATCCCCAATGAGACACAGATGGCAAAAACAACCTGACAGGTGTTATAACCATCACTTACTATAACCAAAATGAAATCTATTAAATTAAAAATTTAATTTGCAAGGACATATTGTTAGTAACATTCTAGCTGTGCTCTATTAGATCCTGTTGTAATTTGTTACTGGTTACTTGGACAGTAAGTGAAGCATTATAGATTTTTCATGTCAATTCATTAACCTAATTCATGAGTTAGAGAATGTAATGATACGTGTAAAAACAATTTACTGTATTGCTTAGATAAAAATAAAAAAAAATCCCCACAATTTAAGTCACATCACTAACCTGTATTGAAGTAATTCCTGTGTTGTGCAGGTAGCTGATTCCCGAAGAAGACAGAAATCTTCACTGCAGGGATACCTGTCTTCTTCCTGTCTCTGAACTACCAGCGCTGCAGGGGTCCTGTCCTGTGACTCAACAGACTCTCCCCCATTCACACATCATGTTACAGACAGGGAAAGCAATAAAATAACTTTTCTAAATAAAGGAGAAGGGAGGAGAGGGCAGGTCCTCCCACCGGACCTGCTGTTCTGCCTGAGGACCCAAAGCTATTAACTCTCGAACCTCTGGAAGTTCAGAGACAAGATGAGGACAGGCATTCCTGCATGAAGAATTGAAGGAACGTTGGGGGAATGCAGTTCCGGCACCTCCAGCACTGAATGTATGTAATGGCAAGGGGTGCTGGGGGATCTATTGATGCTGGCTGCTGGGGAATCTATTGTTGATGGATATATTTTTTTTGCAGGGAGGTCTATTGTTGCTGGTAGGGTATCTAATTTTGCAGGGAGGTCTGTTATTGCTGGTGGGAGATCTATTGTTGTTGATGAGTCTAATGTTACTGGGGGGTCAGTTGCTACTAGGGGAGATCTATTGTTCAGGTAAGGGTCTGTTGATGCTGGTTGCAGGGAGATCTGTTGTTTTTGCCAGAGGTCTGTTGCTGCTGAGGGGTATTTTTTTGCAGCCAATCCATTGTGGCAGGGGGGATCTGTTGTTACTGGGGGGGATATGTCGCTGGCTGCAGGAGATCTCCTACCATGCCATCATTTACAATTTCCATACAAATCACTTAGCGCCACAAAATGATACTTAGATCTGTATACCTTAAAAGAATGGTATTAGGAGGTGGGTAGAAGGTGGAACCAAGGAATGGTGGCTCTGAAAGGGCGAGTTCCAGCACCTATTCTTTGAGAAAAAAAGCCCTGCAAGAAAGTGATGTGACTGACTAAAGCTGTAAGGACGTTTTTTTTTTTTTAAACTACACTCAGCTTTAAATTATTTTATGTTCAGTTTATAATAAGCATGGCATTTTGATCATTTTAAATATATATATTATGGCATGTTGTGAAGCAGTTAAATAAAATAGCATTTACCCATTACATTAGTTTCTGCCTAAGTGAAGTTTACAGTGTAACGTCCCTGTTAGAGTCATACAAACATGCACACAAGCTAACAGATTAGGCAAATGCCCATTTATTTAGTACCATGCTATTTTGTATACCTTTATTGATAATTGTAAATACTACTAACTTTATACACATATTTCATATTCAGATAAGCTTACTTTTCAGTAGACCATCAATATAAAGTTCTTCTTTCAAAGTGAACGGATACTTTCATTTACAAGTATAGGTTTTTGCAAAGAGCAGAAACCAAAAGATGTCTGTTATTACATTTGCAAGCCAGAAATACCTATTTTGCCTTAATGTCTGATTTATTAAACTTTGTTACTGTGGCATAACTTTCCCTGCCTTTGTCGCTAAGCTCCACCAACTGCAATTATCCTGTTCAGTGAAAGTGCTCTTACTGGTCACTGGTGGACTATAATTATTATAGATTGATAGTGGGTGGGGCTTAGCTACCATTCCAAGAACAAGTTAAACTAATCGTAGTGGGGGGAACAGCAGAATAGTTCCAGAAATAACTCAAATTTGGCACATGTTTAATCTCTTTAAAAGGCACACAACAATAAAAAGCATATCAGTGGCTTTTAATTGTATCCATTCCATTTATACCTAAAAAAACCTGTTGCTTCACTTGACCTATGCAATTCGAAGTAATTTGAAAGCCACAATCTCCCCTGGAACATTGCAATAGGCACAATAAATAAAGGTGGAAGCTACACATCCATATAAATGAAAATAATGAATAACAGATTTCTTTAACATTACCAAAGGTGATTACTAGTTTAAATTCTTCCATTGGTTGTCTTCACTCTGTTCATAGTTTTGTGTATGTCTGTCTGCTTCAATACATTACCCATATTGGCTTTAACTGCCAATGCCATAGACAAGTGTGAGCAGGGACTGAGGGATGATAGGAAAGTGTGTATTTTCCAGATCCATCTACTATGCATTGGTTAAAAAAAAAAACTATTCCAATGGCTGGTGATTACATTCTTTAAAAAATAATTCAAACAAGGGCACCATCTTTTTCAGTAGAATTAGTATGTTAAATTTAAGCTGTGAGGTGACCATTATAGTCATTTATTGTCTTTGATAATTGCAGGTGCTCATATAGGAGTTGGCATCAGTGGACAAGAAGGCATGCAAGCAGTTCTGGCCAGTGATTACTCGTTTTCTCAGTTTAGATACTTGCAAAGACTTCTACTAGTTCATGGTCGCTGGTCCTATTTCCGAATGTGCAAATTCCTCTGCTATTTCTTCTATAAAAACTTTGCCTTTACACTAGTTCATTTCTGGTTTGGATTCTTTTGTGGATTCTCAGCCCAGGTGAGTGGTAATGTTTCATCTTTATTCACATGAGTACAGTGCTGTAAAAGATTCCACAAACCAGTTCAGCGCACTACAAGTTCTAGCTTCAAAGACCTTGCAGCTTTCAAAGAAGATCTGGGAAGATCCAGTGAGCTCAAACAACAAAAGAATAGCAGTGCGGGATCCTTATTAGCATGATAAGAAGGTTTTATTGAACAATTTAAATAGCACACTTACATGTAGAATTCTTGACATGCGGCATATTAACAGCCCTTGGTTCCTAGGTTGGCATAAGGGGAACCTAATGTGACAGCTGTTAAAGAGCCACCAATGCCCGTCATCCAGCACTGCTATACCCAGCCTCATGGCAGCCCCTATGTGCCAGTTGATGTAGGGGGAAGTAATGCATTTGAAAGAACCAATCCTTCTTTGTCAAAAACCTGTATCTACCTTTAGATTTGCAATAGTATAGCAGTGCTGGATGCCGTTGACGCTGTTAAATTGGTTCCTTTTATGTCTGTAATTTTTTGCTTGCATTGACATGCATCCTGTCTCAGTTGCTTTTGAATACCCGTAGACTTGCAATAGAAGAAAACCATTTGGGGGGAACAGTTCTCAAACAAACAGAAATCCTTTAACACTGGTCCTAAAGCTCAGCTGATGATGAAGGAAAGCTGTACTGACAGATCATGGAGACTACAATTGTTAACTTCGCTTTTAGAAATGTTAATTGCTTGGTCCGCATGTGGATCAATGGCTTCAGTTATTTCAAGGACACTGATCTGAATGCAAATATGCAGATCAGGAATTCTGGCTTGTACTCAGAGCCAGCTAAGCTACTGCCATTTGCAAAAGGAGGTAAGCATTACCACCTTCCATATTTTTTTCAGCAGAGGTTTTCACTAAAAGTGGTTGTAAACTTCAGACATACTGTAAAATGTGCATCCTTCTATACTGTGTAGTTGTCTATATCCAAGCTCTTAGTGTCATTTCTCTCTGCTGCCTTGTTTTTCAGTTAGAAGCAGGAGTCACTTCTGGCAGCTTTTCCCAACACCAAGAGTTAAAAAGGTGATGAGGAGGATAGCTGCAGCACTCATATTAACAGCTGTGCTTGTTCTCCGTGTCCTGTATGAAGGGGGTCATGCCCCTTCCCTCCAATGTAGGGCTCAGAGCTGTCGGCTGTATGAAAGCCACAGATCCCTGCTCCTAGCTCCTTTGTGTTTTCATAATGATCTACAGAGGAAATGACTGCAGATACACAGCTACAACGTATTTAGGAGGATTTGTTTCATCTCTGTGTATCACCTAATGCTGGTCGCTTTACTGGGTATATGTACAGGTTTACAACCACTTTACATAATATGTCTTCCTTTTTCATTTAGAATGCATTGCAGAGGATATATGAACTTATTTTATTCGTTGGGGCGGTGGCTATGTGTAAAGTGCAACAAATTGTGGCAATTGGATCAGAGCCTGTCCATACTGCCCCAACAGCTGCTACACACTAAACCGCAGAAGTTTAGTGCACAGCAACTGTCTGTCCTGGCCACAGTGAGCCGATGGTAGGGGGTGGTTGACAAATGTTTGGAAATACTACAAAATTTAATTTGCTTTTAACATTTGATTTTAAAAAGAATGGACTTTCCTAAAACCTCATTCACTTTTAGAAATTAGTTTGTGAAAAATGTTCTATCCTGGTCATTCTAGTTAATCCCACTAACAAACAAATCGAATGAGTGTTGTTAAAATGAAACATATCAAACAAAGTTCTATTTGTGTATTGCAAGCTTTAAGCTATCAGTATGGTTCTGGATCCTTGAAGGCATCCCACTTGAGAAGATAAAACAAACTAAATTCCGACAATGTCCTTGGAAGGAATTGTGCCCTGGAATTCAGCAGTTCCACTCAAGGGTGCTACCTGCTAACACTTTGTTGCCCTTTACCACAAACCTTGGCATTTTTTTATGTGTTTTCATGGTAATGTCATGTGCATTTTTGATGAGTTGTCCTGGTAGTGTCATGTGCAGAAAGCTGTCTCATTATGACAAACATTTGTGCCACTAATGTTGCTAGCCATCCTACAAAAAAGAAAGTAAAATCACTAGTTTATACATTTACCTGAATTTCTTTTCCAAACTCGTTTAGAGTAAAAATACTTTGTTGTTTTATCCATTGCTAAAACAAGGCATAAAACACAGACTTGGCTTCAGAACAAGAATTAACTTTGTCTCTCTCTAAAGTTGATCTTCCATTTAAGCAATGTGCCGTCTGCTTTTCAACTTAAGTGTAGTCATCATTTGTTATGGATAGCACCTCATACATTAAAACTGATCCCCCCTGAAGTCTGAAATTAATTATCCAATTAGGGGGAAAAAGCATTTCTTTTACCAGTTTTAAGAAAACTATCTCCATGGGTGGTTCATTTTTTATGAAATTAAGTTGGCGTGCAGCATCAGTAGAGGTGCACTTACAGGCCAAGAACAAGCTGGAGTAGCCACTTTGGTCCATACAGAAAGAGAATACTTGGCAGACACTGATTAAGTTTATTGGTTCGAGAAGAGACCAAAATAGGAAAAATAGCAAATCCATTGAATGATGTATTACTAGTGGTTGCATCATTCTTCTTTACTTAAACTTTGAGAATAGCAAGTCATAAAATGAAGTTGTCTGAATGCAAAACTCTTGTATAACCGATAGAATTACTTAGACTGTGTGACTCCATATTTAAAGGAGGCTGATGCTCTTTATCTTTACTTTGAATTCTTACAGAGAGCATTCTTTGCAAATGACTGATGTCATTATTTTAAAAAAGGTTATACAAATTCATTGCCTAGTGCAGTATTAATTCCACCTGTTTCACTCTTTCTTGTGCTTGTAGTTTGTGTGTAGACTTTTCGTCTGTTATGTAGTTGACCCTTTGTTTGATTGTACTGATCTATTGTTGCATATCAGGGTTTTGACATCACGTTTACAATTACCTGAATTTTTGTAAACTAGCCAGATTGCAGTCACTTAGGGGAAAAAAATCTTTCTTGATTTTATCATTTTCATATGAAACATCTGGTTATTTCTTTGTGTTTAAAGCACAGGTTAAAGGGTGGGAACATTGATTTCAAGGTTTAGAAATTATGTTTAGGCATAGATTTTGAAAAACAGATTGGAGCAGTTTTATCATTAGCTATTGTAGAACTACTAGTGGGAGGATCTTAAAGCCAAACTCCCAACTCTGGGACAATTTAAAACTATTCCTTGCAGTGCCTGCACTGGAAAGGTTAATTGTTGGTTTTGTCTATGGGAGAGAAGAACGTTTTACTTTTCAGTTCCACTGCATTGCTATATAGATGCCACTTTGGTCTTGACTTCAGCACCCTAGACCACTTGAGCATGGGGCAAATGAAGCTGCAGGTACCAGTCTAACTGCGATGAGGAGCCAAGGATTGGGTAAGTAAATAATCTTTCATTGTTGCCCTAGCCTAGACCAAAATAAGCAATTACCTTGAGGTGCAGGCAAAGCCCCACTGCAAGGATAATTATTTAGTTTCCAGAATTGGGCTTTAAAGTGTATCACAGCAGGCAGGACTGTGCGATCACGTGACTGCTCCAAATAAGTGAAAAAAAAAGGTGTTTACAGGGAGGCAGGGTTCTGAACTTTGTAATTTTAGTTTTACCTCAACTTTAAGCTTGTAAAATTTAAGGTAGATGTCTCCTTATGTAATTAATATTGAATATTTTAAAACAACTTATTACAGGTTTTTCATTGCTGATAAATTACAAGTGAGGGTAAGGTTTTACTGTCAAATTGAAGTGAAAACTTAATGGTTTGTGGTCAATGTGATTTTAATTTTTTATGTACACTCATCAGCCATAACTGTATAACCACCCACCTAATATTGAGTAGGTCCCCCTTTTGTCCCCAAAACAGCCTTGATGTGTCGAGGGATGGACTCCACTAGATCTCTGAAGGTATGCTGTGGTATCTAACACCAAGCTATTAGTGACAGATCCTTTAAGTCCTGTAAGTTGTAAGGTGGGGCCTCCATGCATTAGACTTGTTTTTCCAGCACATCCCACAGATGCTCGATTGAAGAGAGATCCGGAGAACTTGGGGGCCAAGTCAACACCTTAAACTCATCATTGCGTACCTCAAATCATTCTAGAACCACGTTTGCAGTTTGGCAGGGCACATTTTTCTCCTGAATGAGGACACTGCAATCATGGAATATCATTTCCATGAAGGGGTGTACTTGGTCAGAAACAATGTTTCGGTAGGTGGTACATGTCAAGTACTGTAAGATCTACATGAATGGCAGGACAAAAGGTTTCCCAGCAGAATATTGCCGAAAACATCACACTGCCTCCGCCGGCTTGTCCTCTTACACTGCTTCCTGGTGTCATCTCTTCCCTAGACAAGTGATGTACAAGCACCTGGTCATCTACATGATGTAAAAGAAAACATGATTCAGCAGACAAGGCCACCTTCTTCCATTGCTCTGTGGTCCAATTCTGATGTTCATCTTCCCATTGTAGGCTTTCTTGGCTGTTTACAGGGGTCAGTATGGGCACCCTGACCGATCTTTGTCTATGCAGAAACAAACTTCAATGCCCTTTTTTTTTTTAGGTTAATTGATGGACACAGTCTTTCTTTATCCATGAAAAAAACAGGGTTTTATATCCCCACCTACAGGAGTAGGACAGTAGGCAGAAAAAAACTCAGCACCTCCTATAGGCATTTTTTCATAAACTCCCCTCTGCTATAGGCCTCCAGTCATTCTGCCTATTGTCTCAGGAGTATGGACATGCTTTTACGCTAGGACTTTCATTTTTTTTCTTTTTTCCTTGGAATTTTTTCTTTTCCTGCAGAGATATTCTATCAGAGATCAGGCTGGATGATCTAGATGCTGTGGTCACCCCAGTCTGACCAGCTTAGCTGTCGGTCAACCATGACATGCCCCATCCTGGACCAGGGCAGCCAACGTCACATGTGTACACATAGGATCTGGCACCTGTATTCTGTCACA